AAGGCTAGAGTGCAGTGGCGCGATCTTGGCTCACTGCAACCTCTACCTCCTGGGTTCAGGTGATTTTCCTGCCTCAGCCTCCCAAGTAGCTGAGACTACAGGTGTGCACTACCACGCCAGGCTGATTTTTCTATTTTTAGTAGAGACGGGGTTTTGCCATGTTGGCCAGGCTGGTCTTGAATTCGTGACCTCAGGTGATTCACCCGCCTCAGACTCCCAAAGTGCTGGGATTACAGGTATGAGCCACCGGGCCTGGCCCTATGTGGGCATTTCTTTCCTCCAGTGTGTGGGCATCTGATTGTAGAATGGCCCCGTCCATCAGCACAAACTCTGTAGTGAATTCCTTATATGGCTAATAGGGTGAGCAATCATTCCAGTTTTCATGGGATTAAGAGGTTTCCCAGGACACAGGACTTTCAATCCTAAAACCCAGTCAGTCCTGGGCAAACCAGGGGACAGTTTGTTATCTTAGTGGTAAAGCAGATTCTTAATCTGTACTTTTTCTCCCCAGTGGGCCTACAGCATGTTGAAAAAATAAGGCTGTGCAAGTGTCATTATATCGAGGATGACTGTTTGCTGAGACTTGGTCAACTTGAAAATTTACAAAAAAGCATATTGGAAATGGAAATAATATCCTGTGGGAATATCACAGACAAAGGCATCATTGCTTTGCGTCATTTAAGGTAGATGATCAAAGCCAAAGTGGAAACTTGATAATGCTGTTAAGGTGAATAGGTAGAATTTAACTGACTGTGAGGGCTGGTGTCTATTTTTAGTTCTGAAAAAGATAATTTTAAAAAATGATTTCACTTCCATCTGTAATACTTTAAAAGAGCTAAAATGATCAATCTTAATACATTAATGTTTTATTGAATTTTTTATAGGATATGTTTTTAAAAATTAAATCTACATTAAGCACCTAGCACGATGCCTGTCACAGTAAGCCCTCAGTAAGCTTCAACGATTATGCTTTCTCTCCTTTTTTTTTTAAAGCAATTTCCCCTATGTTTTTGATATTTTCAGGACATTTGGTATATACCTATTAGCATTTTACCCTGTAATTATGTTGGTTGAGGGGAAAAAACCTTGAAGTATTCACCTTTCTGTGTTTAGAGCCTAGAACACTGCCTGACACTATAATAATCATCAAAAGCACGCATTCACTGGTTAGGAAAGCTTTTCTACATCCTCTTGTGCCACCAACCAGACCCATGCCATGGCCTGGAGCAACTCACCTAATTCCAAATGCAAAAATAGATAATACTAGCAAGGAATGTTTAACTCTAAAATTGTAAGGTTCTGAGTCTTATCAGCGTGATGAAAAAAGAATAGAAGTTTGTTTAATCGAATCTCTGTGTTAGAGATCCCAACATTCAAATTATAAATCTAATTAGTGTAGTTCTGCTTTAATATAAAATGGATCTACCAGTAACCTCAGTATCACAGGAAGTTTGAGAAATTTTAAACATTAGGACCACAAGTAGTAGATTGTCCATCTCTTACATTACTTGAGGCTTCAGAGCTTCATCTTTTAGTAGAAACTCGAGTATCTTTAAGAATTTTCCCAGTTTTTGCCCTTTTGGGGTTGAGATTCACATTTCATGTTTCACATGCAAAGGATATCTACATCATTATAAATATATATTTTATTTAGAATGATTCAGCTAGAAATATTGACATAACCTAAGGTCTGTGTTACTTCCTGGCATGAATTTCATCTCTAAGGCTACTGCTCTAAAAGTCATTTTGAAAGCATAGGGTGATATAGATTAATTTTCTATGTAGTTTTCTTTCTTTAAGCCAGTAAATTGAGTTTATTTTTAATGCTCTTGGCTAAATTGAAGTGACTTTTTTCTTTATTTGCAGAAACCTCAAATATTTGTTGTTAAGTGATCTTCCCGGAGTAAGAGAAAAAGAAAATCTTATCCAAGTCTTTGAGACAGCACTGCCCTCTCTGGAACTAAAATTACAATTGAAGTAAAATAATGTGTCTTATTTCAGTATAAAGGATCATTTGAAACTGTTGATTCTAAACATCAACTAATATTATATAGTCATCAGTAGAATTATAAGGATGCCATATCATGACATTTTAGAAGTGGAGAGTGCATCATATTTAGAAAATGAATATTCAGACGTGACTCACTAATGTTACTAAGTTGGAAGTGAGAATTTATGTACATTAATTCATTTTAAGAAAAGTGCAGCCGGGCGCGGTGGCTCATGCCCATAATCCCAGCACTTTGAGAGGCCAAAGTGGGCAGATCACCTGAGGTCAGGAGTTCGAGACCAACCACGGCCAACATGGTGAAACCCCGTCTCTACTAAAAATACAAAATTAGCTGGGTGTGGTGGTCCACGCTTGTAATCCCAGCTACTCTGGAGGCTGAGGCAGGATAATTACTTGACTTGGGAGGTGGAGGTTGCAGTGACCCGCAATTGC